AGAACTACTTAAAAAGTAAAATAATTACTCGTGGCACAATTATTTCACTAAACAAAAAATTATTATTTATACAGCAGCGCAGATGTTTTCTTTCAACGAATTGTTTGCTTAAGGCGTAATGATATTACTTCCGCACGTATATATATCTCTATGTACGTATTTTTATTTAATTTTCGACTTAATCAGCCAAAATGTCAACACGTCTACAACAACTGGTGCAAAATAGTTTTTGACTTACTGCTGTTTGATCAAACACGTAGCAACTTCAACTCAAATATTTTTTACAAATAATACAAAATCAGGATGAATTTATGATTGTATAAATACCTAAGAGAAAAGGCCAACGATTAATTCCATCACATGTACTCCATTTAGTGATGAATGAGTTTAGTACCATTTTCTTTATATAATATGTTCACCTGTAAGTGAATTCATTTTATTGACTCAAAATTTTCAAATTATTTAAGTTTTTTAAACTACTGCGAATAAAAAGTGGTAATTACTAATGCAGGGCACATCATTGCTTTTAAATTTATTTTGAACCACCGCCAGTCCACTATGTGTAACCGGATTTTCCAAGAACTCTTTAAAACTCTTATCCTCCGTCGTGATTTTTTAACATTCCTCTATTATTTCCATCGGCGAACGCTCCGTGCCATTTTCCAATTTAGTTTTAGTAATCGGGTATATATGCAAGTTTTCCTTAAAGTCCTTAATGTCTACTATTGTTGTTGCATCCCCATCCTTCGGTATGAACCGCACATCCAATTTGCTAGCTAATGCATTGAAAAGCTCTTCATCATCGACCTCCGATTCACTGCCACTGCTGCTCGCGCTGTCCTCATTAGAGTTCTCCTCGTCACGTTTAGCCGAACGCTTAGAGCGCACTGCGTCCTTATTGCCGATTACTTGTACTGACAACTTGCGTAAATTTGTTCGTTCGTTGTTTAGACAAAAATCGATTATGTCTTGCTTAGTTAACGCTCGCAAAACGTCAACTTCACGCCGCCTTCGATCAAAAACATATTCCTCAGATGTGATCTCCTCCCAATTATGAGACACTTCTTCTGCGAGTGATATATCGACAACCTGCTTAATTTTTATTAAGGACTCTCGAACATGTTCGAAGTCTTCTTCACTCATCTCTTCCAAAATTTGCAACATTTTTCCTCGAAACACTTCAATCCTTTCATCCACATGAGCGGCACTAAACTTTGTTTCCTGTGAATTTACAGCGATTGAGTAACCAATTATACCATAGTTCATTCGCACTGATGCCGAAACATAGTATCCCAGTTGCTCCTTCGTACGGAGTGTGTCGAATAATGGTTCCTCAACAAACATCATTAATAGGTCCAAGATGCTTTCGACTCGGAGAGAACACGGACCTATTTGGTAAAAGTTACAAATTACAGTGTTCACATCCTCTTCATTGAGAGAACGGCAGCGTATGAAGTGAGAACCTTGCGGCAACTGGACGGTACGATTCTCAATGTATTTAGTCTAAGGAAACAAGATATTAAAAAATATAAAGTTTTAGTAGTAGTGCTTCACATTTACTATACCTCCTTGATATTGCGACAATTAAGAGTAGTTAACACGGAATTCATTACATTATGTGCTGACTCCTCTGTCAAATTACCCTGCATTAGTGTCTGCAAATATAATTCACTTGTATAGGCGTCGGAGAAATGCAACACATCATTTAATGTAAGGCTATCTAAACATTTATATTTAGTTATAATGGGCCAGCGGATGTGCTCTACGATACTTAAACGAATATCCCTAAAAAATAAACAATACGGATTTCTGGGCTAGGCTGTGTACAAGTTTTCAAGTTTCTTACTTGTTGAGAGTTCTCGGCTTGATCAACGAATTGAAATAAGATTTCTTCTGATCTGTTTTGAATATATTAAACTGATCTTCCGTTATGTGTTCACGCATTGACACCATAGCTTTGGTTATAATGCCCACAAGCAAATGCAATTTTTCATTATAACCATTCACCTTGCAATTATGCAAAATAAAATAGTAAATTAATCGTAGTGAATCTAAAATGATGTCAAGTATACATACCTTTAGTATAATGCCCTTTTCGGCAGTGTAGAATTGATACGAAAGGCCTGCAACTGTGGCTGGATACAATTCTTCACTAAGTCGGAATTTAACTAATCTCTCATAAAGCGCACACAGAGCGTCGCTGTAGACATTAATATAAATAAGTAAATTTTTCTACAATGGAAAAAAGTGTGATGTTTACTTTTTGGGATCCTTGCGCAATAGTGGTGATATAAAATAAAAGTACATGTAAGCCTCAGGAAGGAGAAACTTATCGTCTTGTCTAAACCACAATTCACATATATCCGTCTGAAGTATTTTCTTAGGGGCAGTCGGTAACTCTGGTTTTCCGTTTTCCTCCCAGTGCAAACGAAAATCATTCGAAATAAAACGATTTGGCTTCGGCAGGAACAACTCTGGCATGGGTTTTGAATTCTCCCAGAGTTCACGCCATTTTTGAGGCATTTTAACTGTGGTATATTCAGTACTGAACCATTTTTCTTTTTTGTCATATGTTATACCTTCATATTTGTGTTGCGAGGTGATCATTATATTGAATCTGAATTCGTTTAAATGCTTTACAACATCTTGAATGTGATCTTCATTGTACTCGTAATACAATTCAGTGCCAGTCAATATATCCTTGGGTGGATAATATTTCATTTTTACAGCTAATTTTTCGACATTGTCCAAAGCCGGACGCTGAGATTCGAACCGGAAGTTAGTCGCCTCAATTTTTTGCAACTCTGTGAAAGCATCTTTGAACGGGCCGCAACCGGCAAAGAGTTTAATAAAGGCAAAACTAGCAGCTAGTACCTTAAATAAAAATTAGAAAATTAAATTTAATACAGAATCGTATTTTGTGCCTACTTCGTCGAGATGCTGGAAACCGCGGTCAGTCAGAAAGATTCCGATAACAAAGGAAGAATAAATGGAATTTGACTCAAAACCGCTTTCATCGATCCCCGCTGTAAGTTCCAATGCCCACAAGCGTTTCCGTAAATAGGCACATAAACTGCCCTCTCCTTCGTATCCAATCAAATGTGAAATAAATTGATCTGGTTTTGTTTTATATTGCTATAAGAACGAGAGGTATTAATTAGTAAATATATGTAGTACTTTTAATTATCAATATACACACCTTTATCATAGACGGCAGTACCCATGTAAGTTCTAGTTTACAAATATTTTCCACTGGTTTAACAAAAAATACTTGTTCGAAAAATTCCTTTCGGAAAGCGTCTCGATAATTGTACGGCGAAAGATCTAAACCCGGAAGATCGTTACTAGGAATACCCGAGAAGTGTTTCACAACCATTTGTTCCAACTCGTCGATGGGAAGACGAGCTTGCACACAAACACACATACGATGAGCACTGTAATGTCGCTTTTGAAATTCATGTAACATTGCATGTAGATCATCATCACTTATTCCATCTTTAAGAGTTTTGAGATTACCCCACGGGAACGTGGCATGTGGGTAGCCTGGTGTAGCGTAGGCAGCTACAAGTTGATCTCGGCGAACTTCGTCGTCATGTACAATTTGCTGAAATTCGGACTCAACAGAATCACGTTCACGTGTCATTGCTTCTTTTTTCATAAGTGGTGCTTTCAGTAATGCAGAGAAATAATCCATACTGCTGTCTAAATGCTCTTCAGATACCTCAAAATAGAAGCATGTTTCTTCGAACTCCGTATGAGCATTGTCAAATCCGCCACATTTTTTAATGTGTGCATCAAACGCATTCTCCGCTGGATACTTTTCTGATCCCATAAAAATCATATGTTCCAGGAAATGGGCTAACCCTTGGTATTCGGTGGGTTCCGTGAAGGAGCCAACGTCGACCAACAATGCGCAAGCAGCCAATTTCTCGTCACCTGTACAGTCGATTTAGTTTACATTTCAAATGATGCATTGTAAGACTAACCTTCTTCTGACTCCAAGTCTGAATCACTTTCACCGTTGTCTGTTGTGGATGTGCTCATAGATTCTTCATCTTCACTACTGGTACTACTACTCTCTTCAGCACAAGAGTCTCCCGTGGAGTCATAAGATGATGAGGACGATGAAGAAGTTAGTCCACAATGCGGCACCGGTGTAGGGTCCGACACAAGCAATGCTCGAATACCATTACTCAATAATAATGTTCTGAAAAAAATCTGTCAAACTCAAAAATGAACCGAAAGTATTATAGTTTTTACTTATAATGTTTTTTGTCGCTTTCCGATTTATCAGGAATTTCCAAATATTTCACAGAAGATTCTGAATTCACCATGTCTGTGGTTGAGAAACTATTTCTAAAATATCCTCGACGAGAAAAACGAGTTGATGTACCCCGTTGTAGAAGGTATTCCGATTTAATATTTAGTGATTTCACTTGTGCTACAGGCGTGTAGCAATTGGTAAGGTCAAAAGAATATTCCAAAGATTTTTTTGTCACCAAAAATTTTGAAAATCTTCGAATAATCATAAACCTTTTCACTATCTTCTTGAATTTTGGATGATCCCTATTATTATTATTTTTTGTTTGCAGTAGCGTTTTGTAATCAAGGTTTTGAATTTTGTGAATTTGCAATTTTTTTTATTTATAATTTCTTAAAAGTAATAAAAACGTTCTGGATTTTTTTTCTTAACCAAATTTACCGCAACTTCCATCGAAAAATGAAAGCAAAGTGACCGAAAATTAAATCCTACTGATGAGTTTTTGTTCTTCTCTGTTTGCTTTGACGTTTAGTCCACGTTCGCATTTCCCACTAGATTTTTACGCTCTCTTATTTTTGAGACAACGTTCTCTTACGATTGTGCGTGACCGTAAAAAAGACTCAATAAGAGTGAAGCAAATATATTTTCATTGGCATCAATAAAATTTTCAACACCTAAATATAATTCATTACAAATATATCTAATATGCGAAACAATGTATGTAAATAATTTAAAAAATATGAATTTAATTAAGGATATCATAACTGTATTAATTTAGTGAAAATGCTACCCTGATTGCTAAACAAGGAATGTCAATGAAAGCAAATGATCAAAGTGATTTGGGAAATAAGCTAAAAGTGATTGAAAGTGAATTTTTTTAACTTCATTCTACTGAAAAGTATGAAATTCGTCCAGAAAAATAAATATTAGCATTTGAAATGCTTTAAAATTGCAAAATGTCATCATAAGTGAACCTTTGAAAATCAGTGAAAAGAAAAATGAATATAGATTTATTAAATCTTTGGTATGACGTTTGTGATGACACTACCTGAATAAAGAAAACAAAAATTGCCAAATTCGTCGGGAAGTACTATCATTACTTATCTCATGCAAAGCAAGGAAAAACGACCAAAACATTAAAGAAAATAGATTTAATCTAAAGCACAGTGCTGACGCAAAGGGCGGAAGCAGTGCTTGTTCTGGCGTTTGCAACACGCCCGCCCACAAATCACTTCGCTTTGTGACGCGATAGAACGGATAAAACCAACACTACATTGCAACCACAAACATTTAAGTACCAACATTGTGTTAACTGAATATTAAAATTCAACCAGCGTTAGTGACAATATCTATAGCATTGATTATAGCACATAGGAAGAAGGTCGACAACAAGCAGACTGAAGGCAATTATCACCAAACATGGCTAGTATATCAGACCGGAAGCGAAATACTTTTTTGAGTTATGTTGCACCCTCACCTGGAGATGTAAGTATAATACAATACTTTTGAAGTCGATTATATTCAATAGAACTTAGTCTACCGTTATGAGGAAAAATGACATCACCTCGTAATGTGCATTTTCTTTATGAGTTGCTATACTCAATAATTAAATTTCGATTTGTTAGATTCCTCGCCAAGAAGGTAGTGATGATTGGCTTCCAACAGAGCTGAGGGATCTTCATTTGGCTAAACCACGATTATTACCTAACGAACTTGTTGTAGCTTCGGCACCCGCTTATCTGTTTTCTGCTATTTTGCCTGCACCTACTGAAGGTTCTGAACTCGATATGTCCCGCCAGGCAATATTCGGGTTGTTAAGTGTCACCAATTTCAAAATGGCATTTGTGCCACTACAACGACATAAACAGGAAACACCTCCCCAAGAATCCTATCAGGAGCATCTATACTTGCAACGTAACGATGTTACCCTAAATAACATAGACTATGTGTACCAGCTGGCAGAGGGCGGTAGAGTCAGTGTAAGCGCACTAAGTGGAGGAAATAGACGCAAAAAACTCGATGCACAACAGAAAGTGATGAGTAATCGTATTACGGCCCTTCACATTATTTGCAAAAATTTTCGTTTACTTAAGTTCGCCTTCCAAAATTCAAGATCAGGCCCTGATTATGGAAAACTGATTGCTTCAGCTTTAGCGCGTTTTGCATATCCATCGCGTCATGATCTAAGTTTTGCGTACTGTTATCGCGAGCCATATTATTCCATGTTAGGAAAATCTAGTGTCACTATGTACAGCACAAAAAATGACTGGGCGCGAGAGTTAATACGATGTGGTTCAAACGAATGGCAAGTCGTAAGTGCTGATAGTGTGCATCAATTAAAAAACGTGTTGCAAGCCCCAAAGTACACCCTACCGCCCCACTTTGTCATTCCTAAATGCTGCACAGTTGAACGTTTCTTGGATTTATCACGAGCCTTCTACGATTCGCGAGCGGCATTTTGGGTATATGGTTATGGCAATGCATCTCTTGTTCGTTTAGCAGAATTGAAACCAGCAATGCAGCAAGACACGAAAGTGGAAAATGTCACCCTCGAACTCGTGAGAAAGTGTGATCCACGTCATGCGCTAAAACTTCTACAATTGACGGATCGCCTTCCTAGTATACAAGATGTGCAAAGAGCATACCTAAAGTTTCGTCGCCTTTGTACTCCGGAAAGTCCCCAAGAATTTCTGGTTCAAGATTCTAAATTTCTTTCAAATGTGGAAAAGTCGAATTGGCTCTTCTACGTATCACTGTGTTTACGATATTCATGCGAAGCTGCAGAATCGTTGCGAACCGGTACAACATGTGTATTGCAGGAAACCAATGGTCGGGACTTGTGTTGTATTATTTCGAGCCTGACGCAAATAATACTAGATCCTCTATTTCGGACAATTGATGGGTTTCAGTCTTTGGTACAAAAGGAATGGGTGTCTTTAGAGCATCCTTTTCAAACTAGATTGGGGCATGTTCGTGGTGATACAGCAGAAGAGGATGAAAGTCCCATTTTCTTACTGTTTCTTGACTGCGTATGGCAGTTGTTGCAACAATTCCCAGACGAATTTGAGTATAGTCAAACATATTTGACTACATTATGGGATTCGTGTTTTCTACCTATATTTGATACATTTCAATTTGATACTGAAGCGGATCGAGCACGTGCGGTTAATTTTGGTAACTTGGTACTGCGTCCTGTTTGGGATTGGGGTGAACAGTTCGCTGAGAAAGATAAGGTATTCTTTACAAATCCTTTCTATCAACGTCAGCGACAGGAGCAACAGAATCGTCGCTCGATAGCGATACCAGCAGGTGCTGTTATGCTACCCGGACTCGCACAAATTTCCTCAATCAAACAGGGGCAACAGCAACGCTTTACAACCATCAATCCGCAATTGTTTGTTACCTCCTCCACAATACCAAAGGACCGCTTTTTGGAACCGCAACATCGCATGGTTGATTTGGCAATATGGGAACAATGTTATTACCGTTGGATGCCTATTTTAGAAATCAAACACGGCGGTTTTCCACAGATAGATCTTAATCATCGTTTACTGTTGAGTAATATTGCCAAATTACAGCGTTGTTTAGAACTTCAGGACTTTGAAGATTTACCAGATATTTACTACGAACGGACCTGTGAAAAAAGACCTCTCATAGATAACACTACAAGAAGATGTAATAGCATTGAAATGATCGATGGCGTAGAGCGACGTCGCAAGTCTTCCTTACCGGCTACCTTAAATGGATTCAATAGCAGTGGATTGCTTCCAGAAATTTCGTCTTTTTTCCCCTTTAGCATAAATACTGGCGAATCTGAGCAGCTTATAGATATACTAACAAATAGCAATGAATTTCTGTTAGAAGGGTCATTTATGGAACGTCTATCAATCGCATAGCAATCTGATATTTGTAAAATGTCTCATGCAGCTAAATTCGGTTAAGATGCAAATCTGAAATTGAGGTTTTTAGTTAAAATACCAGTTTTTTCTTTTTATTTATTGCAATGGAGAATAGAAAGACAATTACATACAAGACATTTTTAGAAATGGCATTGGTATTTTGTAAAAAGAACTTATCTTTCATGCTGGCATTTATTCAGATCATGCAGTACCACCACACTCACATGCTATTATGCAAGCAATTCAAAATTCTTAATACATACCTTGAATGAGAACGTTATAGTATTATACACATACATACACATACATATATTTTGCTACTTTAATTTCCATTACAACTCTTTTTTTTGTTTTTGTTTAGAAACTATTCCGACTATTCGTATAACGGTTTATATTATTAAAAATTTACAAAATTGCTGAAGTGACGGCAGTTATGTATGTTAACGCAGAAAAAGTCTTACTCGTTAGACATGTATGAAATGTTTGTATTATATAGGCATATTTAAATAATAGTTGCAGTTTCCATGCAATTGAAAAAAGCATTGAAATTTTACTCTCATTAAGGTGGGTTTTTTATGGTATCGGTTGGGACCGATAAAAAATAACGATTTCACCCGACCGCAAGACAACCGTAATAAAAATGTCGCACCAATGTCGTTACGATATTGCCTACATAGGTATATAAATAAATATATATGTATATGAGAAACCAATGCGAAAATATTTATTATATTTTAATAATTCACACGTAAATTACTAATCGAAAAATAAGTAAATAATACATTCAATGTATTGTCGAAAAGGTAAATCGAAAATAAAATTGAAGTTATACGAAGTTTTATTTTTTTATTCGAAAATGTTTGTAACAAAACCACTGTGCTATTTAGTTTGTACATCATATGTACATGTGTATGTTACATAATATACAAAGTATGTCATGTTAAAATAACGGCTTTATTCTTATAAATTCGAGAAGGTTTAGTGCATTTTTAGCGAACCTAATATTTATTCGAAATCTGTTGAATAATTTATGTACATTTTCTTGTAAATGGCACCACGTCGGAAGAAAAGTGTTCCATCCGTGCAACAGCTGCATCATCGCGCTGCTTTCTCGATCGCCATTATAATTGCTAATATGGTATTTAGCGAGCATCGCCAGTATTGTGTGGAAATATTAGGAATTCGTAATCCTACTCAAATTTATGTGAAAATCTTGGAGCTACTTGCTTTTGCGGAATATAACCACCGTCAGAAGAGCATCTAGAAAATACTTTGAATGCGTGATCACACTAAATTCAACACAATTTTATTTATATTTAACATTAGAATAGAATAAATGTTTAATATATCGCAAAAGTTACATAAATATCCAACAACTTTTCCAAAGTGCTATTGATAATTCGAAGATTTTACTATTGGTCGGGTTTAGTATCTTTTGGAGAGCTCTTTTCTGCGTTTTTAGCTTCTGTCAGTAAGAGTGATTCTATGCCAACCTTCTTTAGCTCCTCTATCAAATCGCCACTTTGGTGCATTTGCAATAGAATATCACAACCGCCTACAAATTCGCCATTTATGTAAATCTGAGGTATGGTGGGCCAATCGGAAAACTCTTTGATGCCTATGAATAAAATGATTGATAAGAAATAGTTTGGAAAGCACTGTAAATTAAGGCATACTTTGTCGCAGTTCATCGCTTTGAAGTACATCATGTGCGTCATATTGTACACCATGCATTCGCAGTATTTGCACCACTGCATTGCTGAAACCACATTTTGGTGTTTCGGGATTACCTTTCATAAATATTACAACCTTATTTGTATTTACAAGCTGTTTTAAAGTGTCCTTATTGAATGTTGGCTGCTTGGTGGTGCTGGTCGTACCGGTAGCTGTTGACGCACTTTCATATCGTTTAAACACAGGCATGCGTTCTGCAAGTACGCCTTGTCGAAAGAGCTGACGTAGGATTAATCTTCCAGACATTTTCTCTTTTTTTTATTTTTAATTTTTATTTCAGTTTTAATTTTGTTAAATAACAAACAAATTTCGAACACTTCCGATTTCTTCACCTATTTGACAGTCAGCTGTTTTGGTTTTGCATATGTTCCTTAATTGAGGTTATATATAACTTTGCCACACTTACTTAATTTTATAAGATATATATAGAATTGAATATGACGATATTTTTGATTTTAGAAGTAATTATATTAAAAAAAAAGTCAAACAAATTATCAACGCCCAATAGATGCATCAAAAATTATAATAATAATAGATTGGGCAGGTGTATCCAAAAAAAAAAAAAAAAAAAAAAAAAAAAAAAAAAAAAAAAAAAAAAAAAAAAAAAAAAAAAAAAAAAAAAAAAAAAAAAAAAAAAAAAAAATAAGTGGCAGTTCACTTATTATTATATAGAATTTACCAGAACGGCATCTCTTGATCTCGCATTTTACACCGCGTTTTTTGTTTGCAAAGTATATTTCGCAATTAATATAATTTCATATATTTTAGCAAATATATTAAATAATGGCGAGTTCTAGTTTCAAGGCTAGTTCATCAACTAGTGAAGAAGCATCAATTTCAGCCGGGCATGAACCAGTAGCGACACCAGTATGCATGATTGTGCTTGGCATGGCTGGGTCTGGAAAGACCACATTTGTTCAGAAACTAACTCAGCTTTCATTTAATCATTTCAAGCCGTATGTGATAAATCTTGATCCTGCATGTCGTGAAACTCCTTACCATGCTAATATTGACATCAGAGATACCGTCAACTACAAAGAAGTTATGAAGCAGTATAAACTTGGTCCGAACGGTGGAATTGTCACCTCATTGAATTTGTTTGCCACTAAATTTGAAAAAGTGGTGGAATTAATAAGGCGCGCTGGACAGCAGGGTCACAAGTTTTGCATTATTGATACACCTGGACAAATCGAAGTATTTACATGGTCAGCTTCCGGCACGATAATCACTGAGGCGTTAGCTACCATGTTTCCAACTGTTGTAGTTTATGTGATGGATGTTGTGCGTTCTATTAGCCCGACAACATTCATGTCGAATATGTTGTATGCCTGCTCCATATTGTACAAAGCACGCCTGCCTTTCATTGTGGCACTCAACAAGGTGAGTGTGGTAGAATGAAAAAGCAAAGTCGATATCTCATGAAATTTTATTGTATATTTTACAGATAGATGTGCAAGATCATGATTTTGCTGTCGAGTGGATGAGCGATTTCGAAGCTTTCCAGGAAGCACTAGAAAAAGAACAAAACTATATCAGTAATTTGACAAGAACCATGTCCCTTACACTCGATGAGTTCTATCGCAATCTACGAACTTGTGGGGTGTCGTCGAAAACGGGCATTGGATTTGATCGATTTTATGATTTAGTGGGCGATTGTGCGAAAGAATACGAACGGTAATGGAAATTGTTCTAAAAATGTACAAATTTGATTTTAATTATGCTTTATTTGTTTGTTCGCAGGGAGTATAAAGCAGAATACATCAAACTACGAGAAGCGAAAATAGCTGAAGAGGCGAAAATCAAAGAAGATAAATTGGTTGCGATCGCAAAGAGCAAAGGTGAAGGAAGCGAAGTACCTTTGGGTAGTTTTGTAGAGGAAGTATGTAATGATTAATTTTGAAATTATGTGCATATCATTAAATGTGTTGTATTTAGGTTGCTCTTGGACGAGAATTGTCTGATATTTATTTGAAGCATCCTGGAAATGAGAGTTCAGAGGACGAAGAGGGTCGAGAAGAAGAAGCACCTACCTTTAATGCAGACCATGTGGAGGAACAAAACTTCAATCAGTTCGTGAAACAGCACACGGACGCTCAAAAGGAGAAAAATATACAGAAATGATATGAGAAGTGCGTGAAACAATAATAGTAGTTTTAATTATAATTTATATGTATGTATATATACTTTATTAATGATTTAAATTGAGTAGATCTTTAGGCGCAAAAGCTAACTTATGTTTTGTATTATGCGTTACAATTTTCCGGCTTATAAGGTAATTGAAATTTACGCACGATATACATATGTAGGCTTATATTTGTAGTTGTGTAGTATTACTTCTGAATTTGTGGTAATCTGTAAATTTATAAATGAATATGTATCCTCTACAGAATATACATAAGCTACTGGCTTTGTGGTAGCGTAGTAAAAAACAAAGCACTGTGTAATTATTTTAGAAACAGCAGATATATAAAGCTTAAAATTTCCTTTCATTTGACACTAAAATCATTAAAATCGGTTCAGATTTAGCCGAGTTATGACCATTCAAAGTCGTAACTACTCTGCTCTGCCGACGTGGGCAGCGCTGCTGGGGATCTGCGATTTTTGCAAGTTACAAAATTGCCGATTTCTACCAGGCGACCATAAACGTGCAGCAGGTGGATGCCAGAAAAAATTGCCTGGTACATGTAGATATGTATTGCCCATTTTTACCAGACCCCCGAAAGTATGCAGCAGGGAATGCCAGAAAAAAGTGGCTAGTACATGTACATTTGTATGCGGCTGGCCTGCAGGTATGTATGTGTACATGTGGCCCAACGGAAGCGACATGGATAACGGTACCACCCAAGGGGAAGTGCATAAACCGGAACCGGAAATACATTAGTCACCAACCCAAACCGGATGTAAATATCCGGAAACGGATGTTCACAAACCGGAACCGGAAACACATCAGGCAGCAACTCCAACCGGATATAAATTACCGGAAACGGAAGTCGCGACAACCGGATGCTCCACCTCTCATATCCTGTTATTTACTTCCGTTTCCGGCGATTCATTTCCGGTTTAAGTTGGTGCATACCGCATTTCCGGTTCCGGTCCATACACATCCGTTTCCGGAATTTTACATCCGGTTTGGGTTGGTGACTGATGCATTTCCGGTTCCGGTTTATACACTTCCCCTTGGGCGGTACCGTTATCCATGTCGCCCACATGTACACATACATATCTGCAGGCCGGCCGCATACATATGTACATGTACTAGCCACTTTTTTCTGGCATTCACCTGCTGCATACTTTCGGGCGTGTGGTAAAAATGGGCAATACATATCTACATGTACCAGGCAATTTTTTCTGGCATCCACCTGCTGCACGTTTATGGTCGCCTGGTAGAAATCGGCAATTTTGTAATTTACAAAAATCGCAGATCCCCAGCAGCGCTGCCCACATCGGCAGAGCAGAGCAGAGTATGTGAAACAAAGAGACTTTGAATGGGAATAACTCGGGTAAATGTGAACCGATTTTGATAATTTTGGTGTCAAATGAAAGAAAAATTTCATACCTATCGCACTGGCTCATGCTGAAGTCGATATGATAATCTGATGAGGACTGGTTATATTGTTTATAATTTCAACAAATATTGAAGATGTTTTTGGGTTGTGTGTCGTAACAAAGCCAAGAGCGGAACAGTTCAAACACATGATTCATTAGCTACTACAAAATACAATTATTAGAGAGTTTACAGGAACATTTTGTAAGTTGTTTCATTACCCTTGGTCCACTGTGGGAACACGTTTTTAAGCCAATTAAAACAAATAAAACCAATTTTTGATTTATTATTGTGTTTATATGTATATATTTGGTTGGAAAGGGTTTTATGTACTTTAAATTGTATTCGCTGTCAACTCTTTTAACTAATCAAAAATAACATTTTTGCTGTTGTTGTTTTGTTGTTGTCATGTGTAGGGACTTCGGCGAGATGAAGGTCTCCTCCATACATATTTTCAGAGTTACACACGATACTTGCGAATTACAAACTGCACTTATATATGTATAAATAGAAACATGTGCGCATACACTATTATTATTGTTTTTGTAAAAGCGGCCAACGAAAGTCGTACATATATGTATTTGATTGCTGCCAATTTCTTTGCTAATTACATTTATGGTTTGTGTGATCAGTGGGTATGCATTTAGCTAGGTTTATATTTTCAGATGTAGTACTTATATATATGTGGTGGTGTGTGTTTGTGTGTTGTTGTCAACAATTAGGTAACCACTTATTTCATTTGCTGCTTGCATTCGCTTTGCTAATTTGCTGCATTATCATTATTAGTATCAGCATATATGTAAATAACTAAGTAAGTAAATATGTAAATATGTATGTGTGTGTATCATTGATATAGGATACTGTGTGTGTGTATGCACTTTACTTATAAATAGTTTCGTGTGATGTTGCACTTAAATTTAACATTTATTCAAACTTATGTGCCAATATTTGTATGTAGGTATGTATAAGCAATTTATAGGTATAGTTATGTATGTGTGGCATGTGGCATGCGTACGAACAGTAATGCAAAATGCAAATCAATCACATACATTTTTACAAACTACAATATACATGTACACATATGTATATCTCACTTGATTTAACACTTCTTTGCATAAATAGTTTACATTTACATACCTAACGGTTTATATGCGCGCATATGTGTGTGCGCAACTTCTGAACTAACTTTAAATATGCCATAAGAAGCGCACATACACCCATACACAAAAGTTTGCACTCCCTCCCTCCACTGTTATTGGAACAATTGCAGAATCCTGAAAGTAGCTGCGAAATGTTGCATGATTTCCAAGGTAGTTACCGTTACGGAAACTCGAACTATGTAAATTAAGCGCGCGAAGTATTTTTCAGTTTTTTATAATCTTGAAATATCAATAAATATTATAAAAAAAAATGGGCAGTAGGCGTCTAGATCAAACACCCGCTGTTATGGCAATGCGAACTTTTGTGTGTTTGCGTATGTGTTGGTATCTCTGTACAGTACATAAATATTTAGTTTAGTTGTTGTTGCATGTGTTTTGTATATGTGCGTGTTAACACTAATTACGCTTGTCTACTTACTATCACATCGTCTTACAAAAATAGTTTTCAAATTTCTGCTCTTCTTCTGTTCGATAACTACACTGTTTCAACAATACAATTTCGAGGCGAATACAGTTATACAGTTGTGTGTGTGTGTGTGTGTGTGAATATACATATACATATGCGGCTGTACCCGTTTAGCGTTACATACATATAAAGCCATTGGATCAGCGCGAATTGAATATCTAAATTTAGTTGTTGTTTTTTACAAGAGTTCTAAGCCTGATTTCACTTATGTACTTATGTGTGTGTGTATGTTTGCAGATGGCACAAGCAGGTTAAAGGTATTATAGATACTGGCGTTGCATGTAGTCTACTTTGAGGCGTGTCAACTGGCGCAAAGAAAAATGCATTTTCTCGTATGCCTGTCAAATACAGCGGACGTTTGCGATATTTACTTTGTCTTTATACATATTTATATGCAGGCTTACGTTTGTATGTCTATACTACTTGTGATTTGGTGAAGTTTTCAATTTAATACTCAATTACATAATTTTCTCTAATTACATTGCATACGCATTTTTTCGGGTTTCTGATTTTATACAGTGGGACCTACAAATATAGCACTGCTGTGCATGCATACGCGTATGTATGCATGTAATTTTCTTAAGCTTGCATAGCTAGCCTGTTTGTTCGCTATATGCTATATGCAATTAGGTAATACTAATGGTTTCTTGCGTGTTATCAACACATCTATAGGTAATACCTTCACTTAATAATGCTGATTGTGTCCTGTGTGAGCTTTGCTTACTTGGGAGAAAATAAACCCTACGATAAAACAAATAGTAGCGAATCTGTTTACACGGCACAATACTCCCGCTTCCACTTGCGCGGCAATGGTGGTCACGACCGATCGTCGTTTTATTTGCGCCCTCTTTAATGGCAGGTTGTTCCGGCTGGGAACATGTGGTGTGTTTGTGTTTGACTGCCAACAAAATGTGTGTGGTGTTGTTGGTGCCGCATTTAATCCTCATCGGAGAGATTTGCATTAGTCAAAAGCGTTGTGTTATCGTCGGCGCAGGCCTTCTCCACATCCTACGAATAAACACAAAGAAAATTAGTTAGAAGTTTGTAGCTGTGCTGCTCCGGGTAACCGATATACTAACGTTGCGCTTTCGCTTGCGCACCGATGAAACGATGGCGCGCTTGTTGCGTGCTATCAAGCAAATTGCAATGATTAGAATCATGCCAATTAAGGCGAAGCCCAGCAAAGCGGGCAGCAGAACGCTATCCTCCTTGTAACCCTTTGTAGCAGCGCCATGTAAGTATAAAAATAGATATGTGTATATGTATTAATGACTTAAGTATATAAGTATATGTATGTATATGTGCAGGTGCATAGGCATAAGTGAGCATAAATTTTATAATAATAAATTATTCACACGCTTTTAATAAAGAACTAAGGTCATAACTCCAACAAAAAGCATGTCGTTTGCGTAAGGTTCCATAAGAAATGCATGGCATTAAGAAATAATATATGTTTCTAAAAATATAGTCTTTGAGTTTGTTAGCTGCCCTTTTATAAGTTCAAAAATATTTTGCAAGAAATCATATGGTAGTCGAAAACGTCTTTTCGTACTTTTTCAATAGATGTCGGTGCAGTTGAAAGTTTTACACTGATGGAATAATGAATGAGAAGAAAAATATGTATTTGTTAGTATAAATATAAAAAAAAAAAAAATAAGTTGAAGTTTTATTAGAAATACGAAAAGTCTTTCTCGACTACCCAATATTTAGGATCTTAATTTTAGCAAATTTTCGATCTAGGGACAATTTCAAAAGCGCAACACTAATTGAGAGTTTAAAGCAAGTCCACACTCATCATCTACAATTATTGTAATGTCAAAACGGGATTATGCTTACAGTCCATTGGAAATATGTTGACGGATCAATGTATGGCCAATGCGATTGAATCCAGGCTGCGTTCTTTGTTTCCGCGTTCACCTTAATAGACTCCAATACATCGGTTCCACTGAAATCAGCGGCAATGCCAACGCCTTCGGATGGCGCTTTATTGCTGTTTTGGTTTTGTGGTACAATTTCTGAGTTGGTGCGCACCAGCACGGGCGGTATGATCGGCTTCTTTGCTGTAGATTTCAGCAGCGGCAATTGCATTATGCGTGTCGTAATGGTGGGTATGGTGGAGCTTTGATTGGAAATCGGATTAGCATTGGCTGACGATGCCACCGCCATGGAGGCAGCCGCCGGTGCATGTGGGGAATATATGCTTGTTGTGGAGAAGGACGTTGTTGGACGTATTGCGGCTGTTGGAATATTTTGAGCTATGCGACTGGGCACTTGAACGCTATTTGCATTGGAGTCCAGCTCTGTATTGCTGTTGCTACTGACTTCATCCACATTCTGTGGGAGCTGTGTACGTTGTGTGGTGATTACTACGATCTTGGGGGGCTGAATACTGTCCGATTCGAACCGAACTTCTGTGACGAAATTACTGGTTCCATCCGACGCCTTTTTGACTGTTGCATTGTTAGCTGAGATATGCACATCCTGCAGTGCATCCTTGCTCAATTCCGGCATTGTAGTTGTGAGGAGTCCATCCTTAGCCTCAATGGCCGTTTGCGATTCAACGTTTGCCGAAGAAGTTTTTCCATCAATAGGAGGAATAGGCTGTTCTTTGTCTGAACCATAAGCAATGGGTCTTATTTGAGTCACATTTATATTTGGCTGCGCCTGTGTTTTATTGACGCGCAAAATTATTTTCTCCACGCCGTCGCGATTGATAATTTCCACCTTTTGGCCAATGCTAGCGGCGCTGTTCTGTAGCGGCGCATGTTGTGGACTGACAATGCCATTTGCACCGGCTTTTCTTGGTCCGCCGCTGTTTCTATGCAACCCATTAATGTTGCCTCCGTGTATTAGTGCTGCCTTTGTCTTCAAGAACCATTCCGTAGGGTTGGGCAGGCATTCGGCTGAGACCAAGAACGGTATCAATACTGCGCCCACAATAACGGTACAAATGAAAATCAATCCCAAGTAAGCGAAGAATGAACGTCGTCTGGGTCGACGCGCCTTTCCTTTGCGTCCAGTATTGGAACTGCAGTTACTGCCGGCACTAGATAGCTTGCCCTCAATTCGAAAATCATCATTTTGTGGCAGTATTGTATATTGCAGGCTGTTTTCGCCATGCCGCACCGTCTTGTACATGTTTAGGATGCAATTTCCGGCGCTGAGTTGGTGTGAAAAGACTGGCTAACGTACACTTGTTTGGTCTAAGTAGTTTGAGAATGCCTTAGCATTGCGAGGGTGGGTGAAATATTATTAGCTTCAAATTTGCTACACACACACATGCAGCTCAAAAAGCGGGTGTCGGTGGTTGTAACGTAGTAACCACCACGTTCACCAATCGCTCTATTCGTTATTGATTAAACAATATTCTGTGGCACGACAGGAAATTAAGTAGAAGAGGGTACAATGAGCGGCTGTTTTGTAAGATAACTGTGATGAATTGCTATAAAGTAGGCGGATTTCGCTTTGAGGGCTCCCTCCGAGCGCTTACAGATTTTTTTCGTTAGTCGCCAGTCCTTGTGTGGGGCAGGTTGAGACATTCAATTATATTACCACCTTTTTGCACTAGATTTTGGAAACTCGTTTCCAATACCGAATACACTTTTTGTTAAAAAGTAATTTCATGACCAGATGGAATGTTGTTGAAGGACGATTTTGTATGTTTATCCTTTTTAATACTGAATGGTTTGTTTTCACTACGTTAACTCCAACGAGAAGTCACAGTTTCTTAACACAATTAAATGCAAACATTTCTTTTTTCAGTTTTCTTGCAATCACTTCTCACTGAAGTCTATTGTGTTTCGGAAATTTTCCTAAGCAGTAATTCTTGATGTCTTGCAATCCCAACAATTTTCGCAAATCACCAGTCGCCAATTCGTGTCAAATATGCTAATTTTGTGTGTACTCGTCGATAAGTGTTCACTGGCAGCCACTTGAGTTGAGTATTTGACAAATACTTCGAGTTTTCTTTTTCTACTCGGCAACGAAAAATCAATAAAAAGGACCTGTGGACGTATTACTTGTATTCCTTTCCGCGCTCACAATAAATTGCAGTGAGAGCACCTTATTACAAAAGAGAGTGTTACTGCCTTCGCTCCAAATTGAGTTATGCGATTTGTCATCAGGCATTCTGTGCTTTGGCCGGCAGTTTTTGACTCACTTAACAAATGCGACTGGCAATGCTGCGTTTGTTATGGCACATCCTTGCTCATAATGTAATGTTATTAGAGTAGCTAGGACTTACTTCTTATGGTGGCTGTGCGAAACGAACTGATGTGAAACGAATGGGTGTCTTTTTCAGGGATAAATAATCAAAAGCCGTTGTTGTGGTTAATATTTTCGTATTACTAACTAAGAAAGCAATCAAAAAACTTGTTTAAGCCAATCTATAACCTGAACTAGCAAGAATTCTTTTCACAAATAAAAAAGTTTCCATAAAAGAACTTGATTTTTATCCGTTGTTTTGTATTGGCTATAGTGATCGGATCTAAACAAATTCTTTGGAGATTGAACCATTCTTCTTCTTTTTTACTGTCGTGGAAACAGCTTATGCGGTTATAGCCCAGTTAACAACAGCGCGCCAGTCGTTTCTTCTTTTCACAAGGTGGCGCCAATTGGCGAGGCCAGGTCCTTCCAATGGAGTGGAGGCCTTCCTCTTTCTCTGCACCATTGCCTTGGAAAATAGCTCATGAAGTTTCTTGAAAAACGAAAAAGCTTTACATACAACTCCCACGGAGATTAGACTATTGCCTTGGAAAATACATCATGCCGCATTTCTTACTCAATACACCCTGTTCAGGGTATAAACGCGTAAAACCTGCCAATTGTCGCACAACTCATAAACAAGATAATGACAATGTTCCATTTGTTGGCAGGCCCCCATTTCTCTAACACATGGATATGTAGACGCGAACACGAGCCTCTGCTATTGTTATATATACATACATATACATATGTGCTCATATTAGCTGCTTATGATCGCTCAATACTCATATGTAGATGCACATACAGATATATACATATGTATATAGTGTATACACATATTATCTGTGATCGTCAAGCAAAATAATAGAGACGCGTGCAATTATTTATAGATTCAATTTATGAATTTCTTGTTTGAGATAAGCAAGCAAGTCAAACGGAGCGCGGTACGGAAAATTTTACTTTTAAAGGCCATGCTAGTTAATATTCTTTACACTGACTCCACGCAAAATCATCACCAATTTGAATATTAAGGAGTTTTCACATGGAATGCTTTGATGGCGCATTCAAGAGCAACACCACTTTTCGCGCAGGCCTTTTCTATATGGTTTCGTATACGTTAATAAATAAATAGTGACTCTCTGAGCGAGCTACCGCCAAGTTGGCCCCTTGTCGTCGTCCGCTCACTCAGCTGCCGCTGTTGGCTGGCTAGAAATCACAAATCGCTGTTCATGTGGGCGCTAGTCGCAAGAATTTTTAGTTCTAGTGGAGCCATTGTGCGGGTTGCTTCAGTCACATTTTGTCAGTACTTCGACAAAACACAATTTGATTTAATATTTCTGCTGTGACGTGGTTAATTACTGTAAAGATGTCTTTGGCTCGTTTAATTGGCGCTGAGGTGAGGCTTTTATATTAAACGGCGTAATATGAAATGTGCATACATGAATATAATACTAATAATAATAATTGTATGAATGAAGTTGTCTTTGTATTGTAAGCAATTAACATCCAGCCGCATTATTGAGATATCAAAAATTCAGCTCAACAATTGTTATATTGGTGTTTATTTTGCTCGAGGCAACGCGTGGCAGTGAAATCATTATCACAATAATGTTATGTAACTTATTTGTGGGTAGAGCACGACCACTGCTTGCAGTTGCCTGGCGGCTGGATGGAAATATTCTATGTATTGTTTTTGTGTTTTTAATTGAGTAAATAGATATAGCATATGTTTAATTATGCTTACCTTGCTGCCGACTAAAAGAGCGACATGTGCTGAGTGCCTGGTTGCCGGTCGGTAAATTATGAATTCGATTTTCGCGCCGGTCAAAACTGAAATTATAGAGGTATAAGTACTTAGTACATAATTGATAATAATAAATATCAAATTTTAGTTAGTCATTTGCGAGAAAGAAATAATAAATAACAGATCTTGGTGTTATTAAATTTTAGAATGTGAAATTAGCAACTGGCGAGATTTGAATTGCAGCACTAGCAAACTAACTGAAGCAAATTGTTGTACTGCCCATAACGATATTTTCCTGCAGGGCATTCATACATACTATATATTACTTAGACTCTTTATATACATATGTGTATATAGTATATGGAAAAATGATAATAAACCGGTATGTACGCCAGTTCACAAATCAACATAACAAGTGGAAAGAATACGCTATGTATGCAGATATAGTCAAGGTCATGTACATATATGTATATATACCAAGTATAATACATTATACATATATATATCTGTTACTTTTGGTTTAACAATTTGAGTACGTACAGCTTTTTTTTATACACTACTGTGATCAAATTGATAAATGTGATAGTGTAGCATTATGTGTATTATGCATTGGAGTAAACTTTTCGCTGCTTGAGAGTGCTTACTTTTTTATTATATACTCTATGCATGTATAGTACATAATATTAGTATATTCCTTCATTGATAAGCTTGTGTGATGCGATTTAATGCATTTACCCAAGGAATTTGACTTTTGCTCTTGAGTCCGTGCAATGTCAAATCAATTAAAATTGAAATCAACTAAATTTGTACACCTCAACAGTTCACAGACCTGACAGTTTCGGAATACATTTAGCTTTTATTTACTATTTATAAAATGAAAGGTGAATTGTGTCCATTTCATCTCCTTCAAAGTTATCCCCTCCCGATGGGATACATTTATGCCAATGAATTTTCTAGTCATCATAGCACTTGGAAAAATCCTCTGCCGCTATGACAGATCCTTCTTCGAATCAGCTTTTACATCCTCAACTGAGTCAAAACGGTGTCATCGGTGTCATTTTGGAATTTCCTAAAATGACAATTTTAAGGTGTGGGTTGGATGGAACTCAGTTTTGTATATGATGGCAATGAATCAAATACGGTCAAGGACGCCTCCCTAACGTTAATATTCTGCAAAATATACTAATTGCTTTTCATTTTTTGTTTTAGTTCCGTTTGTTGGCCAAGCGTGGCTACGCTTCTTCTCCAGCAACTACAAAAATATTCATCGACGGCAAATTTGTGGAGTCTCAAACTAAGGAGTGGATCGATTTGCACGACCCCGCTACCAATGAGGTCATCAGCCGCGTACCCAAGTGCACACAGAGTGAGATGCAAGCAGCTTTGGAGTCCAACAAAAAAGCATTTAAATCGTGGAGCCAGCAATCAGTGTTATCACGCCAGCAGGTTATGTTCAAATTACAAGCATTGATCAAATCGAATATGGGTGAATTGGCTAAGAACATAACTAAGGAACAAGGCAAAACACTTGCCGATGCTGAGGGTGACGTTTTACGTGGATTGCGTAAGTTTTTTTTTTACCATTCTTTCTACTTTTGCATTAACAGGCAATATTTTTAATATTTTATAATTAAAACAGAGGTAGTTGAGCACTCTTGCAGCATTCCCTCATTAGCCATGGGTGAGACTGTGGCTAACGTGGCACGCGATATGGATACTTATTCGCTTGTCTTGCCTTTGGGTGTCACCGCTGGTATTGCACCTTTTAACTTCCCCGCCATGATTCCACTATGGATGTTCCCTGTTGCCATTACCTGTGGTAATACCATGCTTCTGAAGCCTTCGGAACGAGTGCCGGGTTCGACGATGCTATTGATGGAGCTGTTAAATGAAGCAGGCTGCCCACCTGGCGTTGTTAATGTCATTCACGGTCAACATGATGCTGTCAATTTCATCTGTGATGCGCCCGAAATCAAAGCCGTTTCATTTGTAGGCTCTGATGCTGCAGGCAAATATATTTATGAGCGTGCTGGCAAAAATGGCAAACGTGTGCAGAGTAATATGGGTGCCAAGAACCACGGTGTTATTGTGGCCGACGCAAACAAGGAGAACACCTTGAACCAACTGGCTGGTGCCGCTTTTGGTGCTGCGGGTCAACGTTGCATGGCACTTTCCACTGCTGTGTTTGTTGGCGAAGCACAGAAATGGATTCCAGATTTGGTTGAGCGCGCCAAGAAATTGAAGGTGAATGCTGGTCATGTGCCCGGCACTGATGTGGGTCCGGTCATCAGTGAACAATCGAAGAAACGTATTAATGATCTTGTTGAATCTGGAGTAAAGGAAGGAGCTAAACTCATTCTAGATGGACGTAACGTCAAGGTACCTGGCTATGAAGCAGGTTACTTCGTTGGCCCCACCATCATCTCTGATGTTACACCCGATATGGAGTGCTACAAAGAGGAAATATTTGGACCCGTCTTGGTAATTTTAAAAGCCGATACCCTCGACGAAGCTATTCAAACCGTCAATGCAAATCCCTACGGCAACGGCACAGCAATCTTCACCACTAATGGCGCAACTGCTCGCAAGTTCGTCAACGAAATCGATGTAGGTCAAGTAGGTGTGAACGTACCCATACCCGTACCTCTACCCATGTTCTCGTTCACCGGCACACGTGGCTCCTTCCGAGGAGATCACCACTTCTATGGTAAAATGGGCATCAAATTCTACACACAAACCAAGACCGTAACTCAATTGTGGCGCGAAACCGATGTGACGCACACGCAGGCGGCGGTAGCCATGCCCACGATGAAGTAGACCAAAATTAGAACCTATATAAAGTGATAGTCCAGGACATTCGTCTTCCTATTTAAGATGCCTTAGTGTCAATGACCGATTCAGATATATTTTTGTACGCTTGATATTTTCAAAACAATCCATACATGGAAATGCTGCATTTATTTTTTTGTATATATTAAGAATTTAAAGCTGCTAAGAGCTTGTTTGTTGCATAAATGTTATTAAGAAATAAATATATGAATACATACTGATATTAATAGAATGGTTTCATGAAATAAGTATTAAGGCTCGTGTAAGAGGGGCACACGAAGGCTTCGATTTCGTATGCACATACGTGGTAGTGGAATCAACGTTTTAAGATATTGGGAAATCGATTTCTTGCTGTGACATTTGATATTTTATTGACACGAATAATAATGGAACGAAAAATATGATAGCATAAATAGTGTGTGCGATCTTCTGAAAACTGCAATCAATAGTCGTAAAAGTCATCAGACTGTCATACCCTTCTATTCAGTTATTCTAAACATATATTTAGCCCATGGCATTCTTCGATCACATGATGGAATGATATCCAATTTTATTGCCTCATTGACACTGTCAAATTTGTATATACTCATAAATTCATTGGATCATCGCAATGATTGTCCGATCTTCAAAGCCATCAAATGGCATCGGAAATAAAACCAAAGGATACATGAAGTGTTTTTGCGAAGCGCCTTCGTTATAAATTTGACATTATTGTCTGACATTTTACTAAAGGAGT